CGGATGCGAGAGATGTGAAATATTTCAGAGTGCAAATAATGACAGGATAATTTGGATTCTGTCATCGAAAATAGAAACGCTGCTAGGGAAGCAAAGAATGGTTTTGATTAATTCTAATATTCCATTTCAAACATATCAGAATATCGAAACTAAAAGACATCATCGTATTGTAGGAAACAATGAAACTTAAATCTATCGCATTAAATCATTGAATAAAAAAAATGAATATTTGGACTTTGTCAAAGAGCAAGATTTTTGGTCGGAATGTCATTATTATTATTATTATTATTATTATTATTATTTCCTTGTACACACATTTCCTTCCGGGTTCCAACCAGAGACCTAAGGTCAGAAACGGTTTCCTAAAATTTTCCACTAATCATTTATGTAAAAATAAACAACAAAAAACTAAAATCACACACATTTTGCATAGATAAACTCTTCGTAACGTATGAAGAGGCACGGTGGAGTAATGGATAGTGGCTCGGATTGAGGAATCGGAGAGCCGAGTTCGAATTCTAGTCGAATGCATTACATTGTCTTACGTGGGAAAGGTATGAATCCTCTTCTTCTCCCCCTCCACCTATGAGTAAATAGCAGAACCAACCAGATTCTATAACCTTGGATGGCAACTAGTCCACTGCGGCAAAAAAATCTGCCTTGTCAGTCATGTATCGAAAGATACATGATCACCTAACTGACTGACTGAAGGAGCGAGCTGTACATGTGAATAATATTTTTTGTATTTCTTTAAGGCATGGACTACCAGTAATCCCTTCAATGTGTCTATCAGAACATTTTCCAATTAATCTGAGGGATCCAACTACAAATGGAATTATTGGTGTCCTCGTGTAGCACATTTTTGAAATTTTCACCTCAAGATCCTTGTATTTTGATAGCTTTTTTAAAGCTCTTTGAAGATACATTACAATCTGAAGGGACTAAAAAAAAACAGGGCGTCTATTTCAAACACGAGTATCCACTGAAAATAACGTTTGAAGTAACTCTTCATCAGTTGTATGTCAATCCGGTAACCTACAGGGAATTCCCAACAGGGCGAGCAAAAACTGAACAGTTCTAAAATAAGAACTCTACGAGATATCCCTAGACATGGACAGTGGAAACAGAACAATCTACCCCGTTTATTGAATAAAGCGTTCAGTTCGGAAATCCCTGTAGGCTACCCGGATTGACATACCCTTAATAAAAGTTGAAGAACAAGATGGCCGAAACGTTGTGATAACAAAAACAATGATTTTGTGATGTCAACGAATATTCGTTGCCACTTTCGTAATGCTCGTTGTAGTAGAGACTTTGTAATCGCAGATACAACTATAATACACCGTTGAACAATACTGGTGTCAGACGCCTTCGAATGATCTCGCACTAATAGTACGTGCTCGTTAATACACGCTCGAATAGTAATCCGTATAGTGATCCGAATAGAGAAATAGTACAGTGAATAGAGTAAAGAACAGTGGTCCATATAGTAATAGAAGATAGAATAGAAATAACGATTAATTAGACGTCACGCTACCTTCCATATATGCGTTTCGTCTATGGTCACGTGGTCTTAAGTAGACCACGTGACCATAGACGAAAACGACCAATAATGGGCTGGCCTGTGTTTGCTCACTGGCGATTTATGTTCAAACTCGTGTCGGCAGCGACAGTTTATTCTTATATAACAAAAGATGTGGACAATAGTCTGTGTGTAAATAGTGTAAATAAAAGAATGAATTGTTTTATTAAGATGTTCGGAATGTATATTCCCATTCTTGGCAAATAAATTCGTTACCTTGGAACATGCTTTTTATTAAGACTCGAAAAATAAGACAATATTTTCCGAACAACTTCATATCAATAGTGGAGGTTATGCTATCACACGTCCAATTGCGTTCGAAAGGAGGGAAAAAATCCCAAACCAGAATTCGCCCCCACCATCAAGCCATTAACCGTTATGAAGGAACTGCTCATACGTCGATGAAACTACAGGCCGTAAGGCTCTTACAAACTGGAAAATAAAAAATAAGACGCAAACACGGTTCCGTTTGTCTTTAAGACGAGAATGAAGACTTCCTACTGCGCTCGATGTCAGTATGTGGGCTGTGTCTCGTTTGAGGCAGCCGAAATGAGTCGGAAATCTGTAAATATGTAGGTCAAAACATTGCCTCTGCGTTCTTGTTGGCTGGTTGATGAGAGTAGGGACGCTTTACCAGTACGATTACCGCAAAACAGGAAAAAAAGTTGGGGATAAGATGTTATAGACGACCGTATCGGAAGCGGAAAAAGGGCTGATGGGAAGAAAATAAAAAAAACAATAATGTTGTAAGTAGGGCAATGTTAAGAAAAAAAGGCTAGTCTTGAAAAGAAACATACACACATCTGCATACGTGTGAACATATACGCATACGAGACACAGGCGGGAATCCATTGAATAGATTCATGAAAGTGAAAATGAGAAACGGTTGATGTATTTGTGGATAATTATTCATAAAAATAGATGTTATTATCAGGTGGGTATTGTAGATTCAATTTTCTATCATGTTTTTATTTTATATATTTGCTTAGATTGTCAGTGAAAGCAACGAAAGAGAGTGAAATATATTTTGGCTAGAGGAAACAAGCCACTTGGGATGTCTTAATATTGAAAAATATAAGAGATTGATGAACATAGATAGATAGATAGATAGATAGATAGATATGAACTGTCTGTAGATAGATAGATAGATAGATAGATAGATAGATAGGGAAACACGTGACATAAATAGACAGGTAGAAAGAGACTAACATAGATATATAGATAGATAAGAGCGGAGGATTCACACACACACACACACACACACACAGAAAACACACACACACATATATATATATATATATATATATATATATATATATATATATATATATATATATATATATATATATATATATATATATATATATATATATATATATATATATGAGTAATGAAAATTTGGTAATCCGTGTGGATAAACCCAAGGAGGTTGTAATCAGAGAGCTCAATGTCAAATCAGAGCAATTATTAATTCAGTTTAAACATAAAACAGACAAAAGTCAATGTTGACTGTTTTTTTATTAAATTGAATTTATATATATATATATATATATATATATAATAGCTGGCCACTCGTATTCGAGGATATCTGTCTATGAGGGCGGTTAGCTAATCCTTATTTCAGACACTTGCTCAAGCATATTTGCGTTTATTCAACACATACAGAGCCAACCTGTGGTTTTACACTGCAACTATGCTGAGCAGTTACCATTTCTGGGAGAGATTGTTTTATCAAGAATGGCCATCAATCGGAACAACACCAACACACTTAAAACCCTCGGACACAATGACCTGTGACTTCGTGCTAGCATATATATATATATATATATATATATATATATATATATATATATATATATTATTCCAGGATCATTTTCTAAGGTATTCAAGACGGTCTTCGTCCTATCTATCCTTCTAGCTTTCTGTTCTGGAATAACAATATGCCTCACGTACTTTCTTCTCTGTTCTATGGACTGTCATACATGAAACTCATCTCTCACGTGCCAAATGTCTTATTGATTGAGTTGGATCTTTTCTAATTGATCTCTTTGGCTCTAATTTGAAATGATGACGCTCTTCCTGTTGTGACATCTTCGTCCAGTTTTCCACTCTACTCTTCACCTCTTTTTAAAACTTATTCACCGTTCATGGTTCATGAATGGACTTGAAAGATAGAAGCCAGTGTATGAATGTTGGTACCATTACTGAAGACCTGAATGATCTTCCTCTCACCATTACTCAGATCCAATCCTGAGTCCCGAGCTATGGTGTCTTGGAAAGTCAATTTTCGTGAGAAGAAATTTCCAGAAGGATGGCATAGTACTAAGAATGAGATGACTTCCCTTGTCCGCTCCGTGGCATTGGCAGGTAGACTAGTTGTTTTTGCTTGACCTTGAGAGAGATTGGTCTCCGTTCTCCGTAGATTGTGTTAAGTACTTCATGGCATCTTCGACTGAAGTTCTGAATATTTCTTAGTAGATTGGTATATGTTCCATCCAGTCGTCTTTCAAGACGAAAAGATAATGTCCGAGTTTCTGATCCATACAGTTGGACTGGTTCAGTCAGCGTTCAAAATGCTTGGTCTTTAAGGAGGATAGATAGATAGATAGATAGATAGATAGATAGATAGATAGATAGATAGATAGATAGATAAGGAAGTAGCAGCATTATCCGCAAAAACAGGGATTGTTATTGAAGGATTTACACACACACACACACACACACACACATACACACACACACACATATATATATATATATATATATATATATATATATATATATATATATATATATATATATATATATAAAGAGTTTTGATATAGATTTCAATACGACATGACGACTGGTAGTTTCACGCCTAGAGCGACCATCATCCTATGTACAATATGCGAAACCCGACATAGAACACCCTTTCCACATAAATATTGCAAATTTGAACGACATAATTATCTATAACACACATACATTCATATACATATATATATATATATATATATATATATATATATATATATATATATATATATATATATATATTCTTTCGATATGAAGACTCGGAACTTTAACAAATGTACAGTTTCTTTCGACAGAAAACGTAGGGTACAAAAAATATAGACATAGCAAATGAAGTTCTGCTTTTCGAAAAGGCGTATCAATCAACCACAACAACAAGACAGGGGAAAAAAAATCTTCTGTTTATGCTAATTTGAATGAATAATGTTTGGGGCAAGGTGGAGTGCAGCGACAGGCCGAAAGTGCTAAGTAAATGGAATGGAGACAAGAGCTATAAGTAGAAAAACAATTAAACGATAGTTGTTGTTTTTTTGCTTTAGTAAGAATAGGATGAGGAGAATTCGTTTCGACCTAATCATTATCAATGATTAATGTTAATGAAGCTGGAATTTTAATAAGAAATATGCGGTGGCAGGAGGAGGAGAAAAAAAGAGAGTGGGTGCAAAACTGCGGGAAGGAATTGTTTCGTTTTTGCCTCCAAGCTTATCCTTTTCTTCATTTAATCAGTATTTTTTCTGGTTTTTGTGTCTTCGGGATTCTTCGAAAATTTTGCTTTCGTCTTTCGAATTTGTGTTAATTTTTTTTTTACTGTCATTTTCTCTTTTCCTATTGTCTTTCCATTGTTTGATTTTTTTACGCTGAATTCTTTCTCAAGGTTTAGGCTTCCTCGTGGTTTCACGCACATTTTCTTTCTTTCTCTTTCTCTCTCTCTCTCTCTCTCTCTCTCTTATTTTATTTTCTCCTAACCTTTCCCTCTCTATCTCTTTTATTCTCTCTCAACCTTACCCTCTCTTTTTTCTTTGCCTCTCTCTCTCTTTGTCTCAGTTTCTACCTACTCTATCTATCAATCTATCTATGTCAGTCTTTCCTGTGTCTGTCTGTCTTTTTATCTATCTATCTATCTATCTATCTATATATATATATATATATATATATATATATATCTCAATCTTTCCTGGGTCTATCTATCTATCTATCTATCTATCTATCTATCTATCTATCTATCTATCTATCTATCTATCTCAGTCTTTATCTATCTATGTCAGACTTTATCTATCTATCTATCTATCTATCTCAGTCTTTATCTATCTATGTCAGACTCTATCTATCTATCTATCTATCTATCTCTGTCTGTCTGTCTGTCTCTCTCTCTCTTTATATATATATATGTGTGTGTGTGTGTGTGTGTGCGTTTGTGTGACATGTTTACTCTTTCTCTCACACTCCCTTTTCTTTCTCTCACAATTAGAACTTGTACATTTCCACAATACTCTCTTTCATTCTCTCTCTTTCTGATTCAAGCTTTCTCCTGTTTCTCTCACAATCACTTCTCTCTCACAGTTTCACATTCATTTCTCCCCTAAACAGAAGTTTTCACTATTCCATCAACTCACCCTCTTTTTCTCTCTCACACACACACACGTTTTATTTTCTCTCTCTCTCTCTCTCTCTCTCTTACTTTTTCCTTTTTCTCTCACTATCTCTTCACTTTTCTTTCACGTTCGCTTCTCTCTCCTTCTCTCTCACACATACATGTTTTCTCTTTCTGGAACTCCCACATTTCTTACCCTCACATCCACACTAACTTGTTTCTCGCTCTCTTTCTCTAACCACCCTTTCATTCTTCTCTTCACTTTTTTCTACGTTCATTTCTCTCTCAAATAATTCTCAGTTGTCTCTCTAACAAACACAAGTTTTGTTTTTTTTCCTTTTTCACACACGCTCTCTCTCTCTCTCTCTTTCTCTCTCTCTCTTTCTCTCTCGCATTCACTTTCTCTTGCTTTTTCCGTTATGTCTCACTCTCAATTCACTCTCACTTCTCCCTCACAATCGCTTTTATCTCTTTCTCTATCAATCTCTCGCCCCCAATAGCGTATTTCCCCTCTCGTTTCAACATAAAAATCTCTCTCCCCCCTCTCTCTTTCTCTCGCTCTTTTTCTCTCCCTCTCTTTCTCTTTCGCATTCACTTTCTCTTGCTTTTTCCGTTATCTCTCACTCTCAATTCACTCTCACTTCTCCTCACAATCTTTTTATCTCTTTCTCTATCAATCTCTCGCCCCCAATAGCGTATTTCCCCTCTCGTTTCAACATACAAATCTCTCCCCCCCCCTCTCTCTCTCTCATACACTTTTTATCTCACTCAGTGTTTCTTCTTTCCCTCACTTTTTGCTTCCCCACCTCAGTCTTCCCTCTCACTAACTTTCTCTCACTCCGTGCTTCTTCCCACTCTCTCTTCTCTTCCCCTCTCCCTTCTCCCCTCTCTCTCTCTTTTACACACACACACACACACACACACACAAATATTTTCTGGAGTAGTCATGCCGATGGTAATTTTAAAACTTGTGAAATAAGAAGAGATATTTTTTTTTTTATTCGTGAATATATTCGTGCCACGGAAAAATTATTTGAAAAATATTTTTGAAAAAAATACTAAAACGTGCCGTACCAATAGGCACCGTGCCGGGCGGATAACTGAAAGAAAATGTTTTTAATCATGCCGGAGCTTGTATTTGATAGATATTGAACGTATTACTCTTCTTCCGTTTTGTTTGTTCCTTTCTTTCTTTCTTGTTTTATTTTATTTTCCACTTCTTTTTATCTATTGTATTTACTCGTTTTTCAGTGCCAAAATGAGAAACCCAGAAATATAAATGTGTATGTATTTCTTTGTAAAATATCTTTTTAAAAGAAAAGTAATATTTACTCGTTTTAAAATGTCTGGCATCCAATGTATCTCGACGTTCATCGAATGCCAGAAATATAAAATTGAAATTTAAAGTTTAGCGTCCGTATATACCCCTTACATCTGGCCACCTAACTCTCCTGACAGCACCTCTTTGATTAGTATACGTCGGGTGCTGTTGAGCGAGAGACAAACAAAACTCCTTGTAACACCAAAGATGAAGGCAAGGATTATAGAAGCATTCACCAATTTAAACAAGGAAACCAATCCTGAAGAGTAGCAGATTTTACCAGAGAACGATTTCCTTTTTTTCCTGAATGATTTTTTTGCTGGTATGTCCTTAAAAAACTTTATGCTTGAATTCATTTGACGTTAACCTTGCAACCTTTTCGATGATTGTGCTCTGGTTAGATAACATTTCATATTATTCTTGGACTGTAAGGGAAATATTCGAGGGTCAAATTTCACATATTTTTTAGTTCGTGATTAACATTATACAGTAAATATATTCAATAGACAAAGCATCAAAATGTCCAGGCCACATTTTAAAATGGCAGCCGCCAGTGAACGATTTTTTTTTTTTTTTTTTGGTAGGGCTTTACGAGAATATTACGTTACTCGTATTCCAAGTGCAATAAATCTACATGAAGAAAATGATAACAAAACCTTTGAAGAAGTGCATTCAGAAGAATCAGGTCGTTATTTCAAATGCGTGTATAAGATTTCATTGGTTATATCTTGGCATATATTTGGGACGCTAGATTACAAATTCTTCCGAAGTGAATTCATGTGTAACGGTTAAACAGAGCAAGAATGCACCAGGATAATATGCATCAAATATTTCTATTATTATTATTATTGTTATTATTATTATTATTGTTGTTGTTGTTATTATTATTATTATTATTATTATTATTATTATTATTACTATTGAGTAATTTTATGAGAAAATGGAAAAAAAACATTCTAGGTAACGCATTTCTTTAATCAAAAGTATATCATCAGACAAAAATTATGTTCTCATCGATGTTTAGTGTCGATCCGACGGTTCCATAAACGATTAGCACAACCTTCTCTCAACATCTGGCTCAACACTGATGAGCTGACAAAATGTTTCTATTATTATTATTATTATTATTACAACTAATATTTTCTTTGGATTGTTGCTTCATTTCCTCTCATTTCCTTCCGGCTCCCAGTCAGAGACCTAAGATCAAAAATGACTTTTCCATTTTCCACTAATCATTTTTGTAAAAAATAAAAAAGATCACACACGTTTTACATAGATAAAGCTCTTCGTAATATGTACTTGTGAGTACAATTTTTTTTTGTACTTCTTTAATGCACTTACCAAGTTCCGTTCAATGAGTCTATTGGATCTTTTTCGTATCAATCCGAGGCCTGTAAACACAACTGGAATTATTGATGTCCACATGTACCACATTTTTGAGAATCCCACTTGCATTTTGATAGTTTTATGAAGATATTCAACGACAATTACAATCTGCATGGATTGCCATGTCAACAAGAAAGTACATTGTGTTTTTGTGGTCTTTTCTTATGATATCTGGGCGTTTAGCTTTGATGATTCTTTGTCTGTGCGTAAAGTCTCATAAAATTGCTACAGATAAAATTTCTCTAACTAGATCAGGGGGATGTTCATACCAATTTCTTGCAGTATCATTCCCGTAAAATTCGCATATTTTCCAATTCAGTTATTGGTTCATTCTATCATGTCGATTTTTATATTCAGTGGCTGCTAACACCGTGTAACCGGATACAGAATAATACAATGAAACAATATAAACCTGAAAGTTCCACATTCTGGTAACTGCAATTATTATTATTATTATTATTATTATTATTATTATTATTATTATTATTTCTTTTTATCTCTCTTGTATACTCATTTCCATCATGTTCCCAACCAGAGGTTTATCAGAAATGGCATCATGACATTTTCCAGGGGGGGGGCATTTACTTTAAAAATAAGACAACCTAAAATGACACACATTTTACATAGAAAAAGCCCTTTGTAGGGTGTGAGCTGTATTTTTGAAAACATTCTTTAATATATTTCTATAAGGCATGAGATGCCAGTTTTTATCCGGTTTTATGCAGTTTCTTGATATATTCGAAGACAAGTGTTGTCGTTTTGTATGACAGTTCTAGCTAGACTAATCCTCTGCCTCCTTCAGATTTGGTTACATACAGCTGATCAAAATCGACCTTAGGATGATGCATGCGGTGGCAAGTGAGAAGCTTTCTCGTTTGGACATCCAATCTTTTAATGTCAGCTAAAGTCAAATTCAGAATGTTGGAACTGCATTGCACCACAGGGACAGCCAAAATGTTTATGGCTGATAATCTTGTGAATTCAACTCGGTATCAGATACACAAGTCTGCAGTAAACGTTTCTAATTTTCACCTTCATCGGAGTATGTTGTATTTCATCACTTTTACTGACTTCTAAATATTTATACGCTTCTTCTTGCTCCAGTTCAATATTTTGTGACACAGTCTAGATCTATTGAGTGTGTTTCTGTAAGTCTTCCATTTTTTATGTTATTTTTGCACATCTAATCCGAAGTCCGTGCCGATGTCAACACTGAAACATTTTACAGTATTCATCTTTGGCTAAACGTTTGAAATCATCATGTTGAAGTGATTATAGACATGGTTGTTTATTTTGTATCCATAGTTAATACTAATTATTTCTTGGGAAAGTGAAATTAGTGACAGGCGCATCAGGAGGAATGACAGCGACTCTCATTGAAAGAATTCTCGTCGTATATTCAACCATTTGAAAGTGATAAAACCTTTGATGTGATTAATGTATAATGTGGTTTTCCACAGTCACATATTTAAGGAAATTTACTATCATTAAATTTACTAAATTTATTATTTTTCTTATTAATAATATTACATTACTAAATTTCTTATTATTATTATTAATTTACTGAATTTATTATTATTATTATTATTATTATTATTATTTTGTATGTTATGTTTCCTGCTAGAGTTGAGTCCAAAGTATGGTCCTTAGGCCCTATAGAATTATCATTTAACTGATAGCACTTTTATTTGAGTTGTTGCTAGTAGGGTGCTGGAGTAATGGATTGCAGCTTGGATTGAGGAATCGGAGAGCCGAGTTCGAATTCCAGTCGAATCCATTACATTCACTTAAAGGTGTGAATCCTCTTTCTTCTCCCTCCAGCTATGGGTAAATAGCAGGACAGACAGGGTTCTATAGCCTTGGATGGCAACTGGTCTAGGAGAAGGAAAACTCTGAATTCAAACCTGCTCTTAGAGGAGGGTGACTGGAGTCTCTCTGAGCCTTGGTTGGCAATCCATTTAGTGATGGTGTCACGATAAAAACACCCTTGATAGCCCTAGCGAAGCATCAAGAATTCAGCTATTTGACAAGATTATGAACTGCACCAGTCAAAGTATTGGTGAGTTCAATCTCGGCTGAGGTCGCAAGATGATGATGATGCTAGTAGGGCTATCTTCTGAGCAATTTGTATGTTGTTATCTTGGACACTGATAGTAAAATTGTCCATTCCTTTTCTTACGAGATTTACAGCCCCGTTTACTATTGATACAGTCTCGGTCTTCATTCTCCACATCCTGTTAATTTCGATCTCTAGGTCCTTGTATTTAGACAATTTCTCAATAATTTTTATGAAGGTGTTTCTCTCAGATGGTACTGCTATGTCAGTAAACATACACTTCCTGAATTTCTTATCATTTAGCATCATATTAGGTATGTTGGCTTTCATTTTCCTGTTAGTTTGAGGATATTTTTGGTAACTCTGTCTGGTTGGTGCTCATACCATCAATCAATAGTTTCGATTTTCCATACCTTCCAGTGCACACATATACGGGTATATTCATTTTTTGCTAATTCCGAACATCTTGAGAGTGTATGGTCGACAGTTTCATCATATTTTTCACAGATCCTGCATTTTGGGTTAGTTCCATCCTCGATTATGTGAAAATGATATGATCTCGTAGCGAGGCTTTGGTCCTAAGCTGAAATAATTAGACCTTCTGTCTCAGCTTTCACCACGGTGATCTTATTATTATTATTATTTTTATTTTCTTTGATTTCTGGCGTTTACACATTTCTTTCCGGGTCCCGCCCAGGGACCAAAGGTTAGAAATGGCATCATGACACTTTCCACTGACAAAAAAAATAAAAATAAAAAAAAAATAAAAAAATAATTTTAAAAATTACATCGATAAAGCCCTTCGTAAAGTGTGGGCTGTACTTGTCAGAACAATTTTTTGTATCTCCTTGAGGCATGGACTTCCAGGAATCCCTTCGATTAGTCTACTGCAATCTTTTTATTATAATTATTATTATTATTATTATTATTA